TCACTCAATCACTCACTCACTCACCTCCATTTCTCTCTCTCTCTCTCTCTCTCTCTCTCTCTCTCTCTCTCTCTCTCTCTCTCTCTCTCTCTCTCATAGAAAATACTGATAGTTTATACACAATATGGTAAGCCTAAACACGTTTCTCCCTCTGAAAAGAGATGATGGTAATTGGATCATCCCATTTGGTTGACTCAACAACGCAGCAGCGTTATTGAGAAATACCGTTCACCTGCAATAAAATAATAAGCTAAATAGATGGTGAATCGTCATCATCATAGAGTTACAGGTAAAGTTAGGTTTGTTACTTTCCTTGATGATATGTACTATGTACTTTCCTAAGGCAAATATGTACATTATTATATGTAATATTTATGCCCTCATTCGTAATTTAAAACAGCCGTGTGCACTGCTCACAGCCGAACACTTCTTATCCCGGACACTAGCATGGAGATCATCAGGAGATAATGCATCGCTGTTTCGGGCTCTTCCTCTCTACAGCTTTTCTGACGCACTGAGACCCCTCACCGATGTGAGGTCTCCTTGCTAGTCCGACTGTTTTCCTCAGCTGCCAACTCTTAGGATTCATTCAAGCCTGCGTCTTTTCGCTTCAACCAGATCCAGTGACTGGCTTTCTCTTCTGTCTCCTGAAGGGAGGTTATGAGTTCGTTACTTTTCTTTGCAGTAAGACCTGCCACTCTCTACGAAACCTCTGCACCCTACTTCTACCGGAAAATGGGTTGCTTTCCGTCCTGCCTCCTCATTTTTTTCGACAAGTGCCTCGTATCGGTTTTCTTTCCGCTCAAGTGCAGCATTGATATTGTCTTCGTGAGGCATCGTGAGCTCCACCGTGTGCACCTCTTTCTCTTTTTCCTCCCATAACACCTAGTCCGGATTTTTTGTAGTTGGGATGGGGAAGAATCTCCCAAAGCCCTTTAAGTCAGCAGCTACCTCCCATGCGCCTCCGCTCTGGTCTTCCATGGCTCCGTTCGCTTTCTTTCTGTTGGGAACCTTGCTTCCTTGCGGAACGAACTCAGTCTTGGTTAGTTCATGCTTCTGTAGCTTGGGAGCGTAGTTTCCTTCTTAGACTTGTTTTGTCGCCATCGTGGTGAGCACTTTCAGGACCTTGTTGTGCCTCCAGGTGTTAAGAGCCAGGTTGCAGTTTGACAAAATATGCTTCATGGTTCCTAGCTTACGGCATCTACACTTGTTGACCTCCTGTACCTTCCATCTGACCAGGTTCACCGGTGAAGGCAAAACATCATACGCAGACCGGAGAAGAAAGCTCAGTCTAGATGTGTTCCACTTCCGACTTTTCTTTCGACTACATCTGGTCATTTGTCTTTGCTGGCTACACTGGATGAGCTGAATTTCTCGCCTCTCTGCTTCCATCTTTGGCATATTATTATGTCTTGTTGCAGCTTTTCTTCTGTCTCACATGGACATTTTCCTGAAAAGTCTAAAGTCACCATTACCTAGCCCCAATCTGTCTGGTTGTGCTGGACCGACAATGTTGCCATGCTCCAATGCAGAGATGATCTCGTCAGTAGCAACTTCTGCCTTCCATTTTCTAGCTGTTTTGACACCTGGAGGTTTTCCGCTGATCTCCTGATCCCTTCAGCCTGCTTCATGATTTCCACTCCTGAGCTCCTATCAGACAGGGTTTCTGCGTACCAACGACCCAGAGGTTGTTCTTTTTTACTGTGGGCATTTGTTCCCCTGCAATTGTGATCTTCAGTTGCTTCTGTTTCCCTTTGTGATAGCCAGGCTTCTAGATTTCTGGGCTTTAAACTTCATCCTGGCCCAGGCTCATCGAGCCGATTCAACGCACTCTGCATTGTGTCTGCATCTCTTGTCAGTAGGGTCACATCATCCATAAAGGCTTTATTTGGTGATTTCACCTTTGCTTCTTCTTCACAGCATTCTGCAGATCTCAGTAGCATCTCCACCACCAGGATGAACCAAATAACCGATATAGAGCAACCAGCTGCAATCCCAACCTCTAGTCGGTGTAATTCAGTTGTGAAATTGGCAGTTGAGAATCGCATCTGGAAGCTACTGCATTTTATAGTATTCTTTCATGATGTCTTGCACCTCTAGCGGGACGTAGAAGAAATCCATTGCTTTCATCAGCAGTTTATGGGGAACAGACCAGTAGGCATTCGCAAGATCCAACCACACTGCGTTTAAACTTTCATTGGTTTTCTTGGTCTCTTGGATTGTGTGGCAAATGGAGAAAAGCATGCTCAATGCAGCCTGGGATCCCTGGTACCCCGGCTTTCTGAACCCTTTCATCCACATAGCCGTTACTTTGCAAATATGCTACAGTCCTCTTTGCAAGTATTCCCATAAAGATCTTGCACGTCACGTTGATGATTGAAATAGGTATAAACTGTCCTATCTCCTTTGCATTACGTTCTTTGGGTAGATACACACCCTCTGCTCTGCACCAATCTTTGACATTTTCCGTGTCTTTCCAAAGGCCTCTTAGTTCTTAGCACCTCAAAGAAGGTGTGTCTCAGCGTGTCGCAATACTTGAACAGCTTATAAGACATACCATCTTCTCCAGGTGCGCTTTTGGCTCTTGTTTTTTTGACAAACTCATCTACTTCTTTCTCTCCGACTGGCCCAATGTGATATTTGACGACGGGAGCAGTTGGACGCTTCAGGTATTTATTCCCATTTGAGTGGAGTGAGCAAAATTCGTGTAAAATGCCTTTGAACCCAAAAACCAGCAATCTCACGATTAAAAGTCCGGTAATCTAACCACTAGACTAACGACTGAGATCTAGCAACTGTGCAGGAAGGGAAAATTTAAGACGCATATTCTTCCATTGCTCTAATCATGGCTATGTTTTAGTTTTAGTAAGAGTTTACGGCACTTACAACACAATAAGGTCATATAACTTATAAGTGCCGAAGATTAGAGGTGCTACAAGAGAGTAACAAACACAAAAAGAAGGAGGAGAGATCAGGACGATATATGTTTGATAGGAAACAAGGAGCAAACCACACCAGAGCACCCGCCAACTATCCGCAATCATGGCTATTCCTTCTCTTCTACTGCACAAGTATTTGCAAATGAAAATAAAGCTGTGCTAACTTTATAATCACTCTCTACAATCTGTCTCCTGTCGCTATCCGAATTTTCACACTTAATCTTGAAGTCAGACAAAGGAATTGCGAGACTTCACTTAAATGCTAGCGGTATTCAGAGGGAAGAACAACATCTGAATCAGAAGACGCGGAAATAAAGTTTGGTTAAAAGTGCACTACAATGTATTAGTTATTTCAAACTGCTAATGAACCTTCACCCGAGATGAAATATCATTGCCTTTCTTGCCCCGCACCAGGGTTTAGGCCACGAATCAACTCTTTCCACCTTCCTCTATCTTGGGCTAGCCTCTTGATCTTATTCCATGTCTTCCCACTTTTCTGTAGGCTACATATATTTCTGTGATTCTTCTCCAGGTTTCACGCGGTCTTCCCCTTGATCTTTTACCTTGTGGATTCCAACCCAACACTTTCTTTGTTATGCAGCTGCCTGACTTCCTTACGGTAGATCTATGTCCAATCCATCGCCACCGCCTTCTTCCACCCTCATCTCTGCTGACTGGGATCTGTCTTGTTTTCCTGAACACTTCCTCCCTATCTGTCCCTCTGATCCTCAGTAACTTTCATAGACACTTGTTCAAGAAAACCTGGATCCTCTTTATGCAACTCTGAGATGCGTTCTATGTCTCACATCCATACAACAGGACTGACTTCACATTTGAATTGAAAATTCTCAGCTTTGTTTGAAGTGAGATATCCCTGGTCTTCCAAATCCTGTTCAAAGATATGAAAGCAGCGTGTGCTTTTCCAAAGCGGGACCTTATATCAGTACCTATTCCTCCCTCTCTGTCAATTAATGAATTATACTTCCAAGATAGCAGAAGGATTCAACGTCTTCTAGAGCATTTCCTTCTATTGTGACCTGCTCCTTTCATTGTGCATTTGTCCTCAGGACCTCTGACTTTCCAGGGCGGATCCTCAATCCAACAGCCTCTGATAGTGAAAGGCTGTTTAAAACTGAGAGACGAAATATGTTGTTTTATAACGTTTCTTTAGAGAGTATTGCTGTTTGAAAATTTACAGGTGGCCCCATATCCTGCATACAAAATGGTACATTTTGTAGTGCCAAGAATAAAATGTGCTGCATCTGCATCACAATGAGATTTAACTTAATGTTAAATAGAAATACGTCATGTAGTGCCTGTACTTACTAGAACATTAGTTCTTTTTGCCTGATTACTAAACAGATTACTGATAACGGGAAACAACCTATTTTGTGTCTGAGATGGTACAAGAATCCAACGAAAAACAATTACATTTAACTCCTTTTTTTGCAATGGTTAAAATAAAGAACTTATGACACGAAAAAACCCAAAAGAAATAAACTTTTCTTTACCCCCCCCCCCCCAAAAAAAAATAGAGGTCAAAACTGCCCGATGACAAGGTCAAAGGTATCTATTTTTGCCACCAAATTAAAAAGAGAAAATACCAAAAGACAAAGAAAACATTTAAAGGAAATATGTAATAAGAGAAAATAAAATAACATAAAGAAGGATTTGAAACAAGAAGATGAACCATACAAAAGAAACAATTTCCTGAAACCTTTTTTCTAGAGTTGTCATATCATTTAATTGCAATACAATAATAAACAGTTCATGCGTAACATAAACATTGTGACAAGTGCCCGTGGCAAGAAGTTTAAAACATTCATTCAAATATATGATACACTCTTGATAAGATATCAGCTTTAATATTCAAAGTCGTATGCAATGCAAGAGAAATTGAACTTTTCGTCCTATTGCTCTTCTGACATAAGTAATTCATCATTCATTCATATATTCCTTATTCCTTCTTCATCAAAATCCAGAAAGAAAAATGAAGTTCACAGGAGTGCTTAACCCATTGGGATGGTGCAAAGCAAAAGTACTGGCCACTGATTTCTAATTCTGTTCCTCTGTTCAGCCACACATCACAGGTTTTGCTCTCCACATAATATATGAATAGCATTATATACAATTAACCTTCATTATTGCAACCTGAACCTCCATCCCCCTGTTATGGAGTTTTCGAATCGACCCTCATAACATTTCACTCTCGAAGCTCAATTTTTTTAAAAGTTATGAAGAATTGTAAAGACAAAAAAAGCTGTGTCATCACAAACAATTATTTGCTATGGTCAACTTTGGCACTCACTGCTTTTACCTCTAGCTTAATACAAACAGCCTTCTTATTCCATCAGTCTTTGAAAGTGGAAACATTTTCAAGCAATTTTTGTCAGAAAACGGTACAAGCATATTCTGTGCAAATACAATTTGAACTCATGTAGGCCCTACTGTGACAACATTCCACATAAAGTATTCTTTTTTTTAGTATGACATCTGAGTTCACCAAATCACATCCAGGAGCGCTGGTGACAGAGTGGGTAATGCGCTCTGGCTCACAATAATGTCAAGCGTATGGTGATAACATAGCGTTTGAGTGGGTGTTCATTCACTTGAGAAAACATTATAACCATTAAAACAATGTGCTGCATAGTGGCGAATAGCAATTTTGAGTTCCTTGTCCATATTCGGTGTGATATTGTGCAATGTAGAGATAAATGACAGTATGCACATATCATATATTTATGTTCACCATCGTAAACCAAATTTCTCAACGAAGATCAAGTTATAAGAGTTGACTTTCAAATTCTATTTCTATTTTAAGAAGGCATACCAATGTTTTAGAAAGGGGCTTGTCTGCACACTGAAGCAGACATGAACATTAAGTAGCCTACTAATGGTGTGCAAAAGTACAAAGATGTCTACTGTAATATAAAGCATAAAGTATGCAGTATACCAATGGCACACACTTGCTGTATAATAGCTTAATCTGCACAGGTCAGTGCCTGTCCTTTTATATATGATTTTTAAAAATTCCTTGACTAACAAAATTTGTGGATATTGCAACCAAAGCCTTAACTGTGCCCTGGCACCCACAGCCAACAGGACCCCTGCCCCTTAGCTCCCTTGGTAGGACTGGTAGACTTAAACAATTATATGTTAATGCATGGGTTCTGTGCGCATGGAGAGCACAGGTACAGCAAGGGTTTAAAAAAGAAATATCCTGTCGATTTCAATATAAATCACATATCCTTTATCATGTCTGCCTAACAATAACTCCTGCTTTTCTAGGGCTCCAGAGTAGATGGTTGTTTGACTAAATTAAAATTGAAAAGGAAAAGAAAATCATCTACATCTTTCCAGACTCAGGTCTTAATGAAGCAGATCTCAGTCTCTAGTGTAATCTTTACACTCACATTACATTTATTTTCTAAGAATAGGTAACAAATTAAAAAAGAAAAAAAAGCACCTGGCTGAACATTAAGCTAAAATCTTTTTAAAAAACAGTTATGCTTAGTAAAAAATCCAGAGTTCATGGATGACTATACTTTTTTAACTTTATTTATGCAGCCAATTACAAATGTACAAATTAATAACTATTAACATATTGTTCAACATCAGAACTTCACAAAACCCTCCGAGGCAGCAAGGCTAAACAAAAAGTTTTCAGTGGCAGGAGGCATTCTTCGTTCTTTCAATGTCTCAAGGCTCAGAGTCAGCTTTCCATCCTCGTTTTCTGTCGCCAAGGATTTCAAGTTGTTCAGCAAGTCCTTTGTTTTATTTGCAATTTCCTGAAAGAACAGAGAACAAAACAAAAAAAAAGATAAAGAAATTATGTTTGAGAAAAAACACTTCTGTTATTTGTTTCGTCCAGCTCAATACGTTCTGAAAAACATTTTCTAAAAATGTTATTTCCAAGATTGTGTGTTGAAAGTCCCTACTAACTAGTAATCGTATGCTACAAAAACACAGCATAAAAAACCAAGTGAAAGGAAAATGATTATCACAGAAAGTTGCATATTTGCAGAAGACCTACATAATTGCATTTTGAATAGGCAAATAATGCCAGACCTATGTACAACGTAAATGTACGGGTATGATTTGCATATAGTAGTTTTCAGAAAAAATGTTTGTAAAGTATTGCAAGCAGATAAAATACAATAAAATGTTAAAAAGACAACGCTGAATGTCCACAAAAATCAAATGTTCCTGGCATACCAACTGCACAACCTGTTCAAAGTTTGAATAACTTTAAAAAAACAAAAACAACTCAAAATATAGTTATTTTTGCACTTACACATGGCAGATTATTACTATAAACAAAGAAGTTCAATACTTATACAGAGAAAATATCCAATAAAAGGATTGCTTAACTGAACTAAAAAAATTTTTAAACTCACTTGAGCCTGGGCTTTTTTTCACCCAACAACCATTGCAGCTTGACAGTTTTGGTACATGTTGAATCATTAACCACAAAAAGATTGTGAAAGTGAAAGCTATCATAATGTTAAAAATGCAACACAAGAAAAAAAGAAATTCTCTCACAGAAAAAGGAAACTGCATCGAATTTGTCTGAATAGTTTTTATTTTATCAATAGTTTGAAAAGGCAATGTCTGGGGATTAAGCAATCATTTTTGCCCCCAATTTGTAATAAAATCATCTATCGCACTGCGGGGGGTAACTGATTTAGTCTGTTACAGCTCAAAAGGTACCACATATAACTTCACCAAATTTGCAATGAAATGAAACAAGTGGGTCAACTGTTGGCTCGCCACTTCCTGTAGCTTGTAACCGAGAAAAACCGGAGATACCAATCGATAAGGCGCATCCCGTAAATACATCGGATTCGGTTACCCAGCGGCGCAAATAAACGGGAACAAGCTCAAGTAAGTTAAAGTTTGAGTAAAGAGAAAAGTATTGACACCATAATGGTCACTTAAGGGGAGGGGGGGGGGGGGGGGTCCACCCAACCCCCAAAGTCTCAATTCAGCTCAAAATAATGAATTTTGAGTTGTAGGCATTTTTAGCTTCCTCAGCCTCCCCTACAACTATTCCATCGCATAAGAACCCCCAAAAGCCTTATTTCTTCACATACTGGGCATGTTTGTCAGCATCATTTCCTCAAAGTCAATATTTTATCTTTCGTTATCTGTTGTTTACTTTATACTTTTTTGAATAACTCCACCATTTTTCATCCAATCTTCATGAGATTTTCACAGAATGAAGAGAAGTTGTAATACAAAAAAATTGTGCGTTTAATTTTTGATATATATGGAACAGATTTTTGTTGGGTGTCTGGAGTGTGGATTTTCACAGATTTTTTGCAAACTTGAATACTACCTCAGGAAAAACTTCATTCAAAATTTTCTAATTCGTTTAGGAAAAAAACCAACAGACAATTTTTAAAATCTATTACGTAAGACATGTCAACAAAATCCAATATGGTCACCCTATCTATGGAAATGAAACTTTTTTCCTCAAATTTGATTGCGGATTTTAAGACTCCCAACTATGCTTGTTATATGTGCGAAATTTGGTTAAATTTGGTCCACTAATAAGCGAGATAGCCTTCAGGTGTAGCCCTCTCCCACCTCCTTAAAGCCAGGAAATGAAAGTAGAGAATAGTAAAGAAGTAAAACTTACCAGTAACACCATTCAACCAGCCACAACAAGAAACATTCCTATACTGTGCTCATGTAACAAACTACAAGACAAAATTTATCTACAGAGATTAAGTGAGCGGTCTTTTGTTTTGTGATGTAACTACTGACCTTGATTACATCAACGTCTTCAAGGCTGTCATCATCAGCCTTCTCAACCATCAAGGTAGCAACATCTTTATGTAGTTTTCCCATTGCAAATGAATCTGTACGAGATAAATTAAAGCACTACTGTCATGACAGAAACGACTTTTGTGAGCTGCAAAAATGGAAACAAACTACAAGAAGGTGCGGTAAAATTATGAAAACAAGTTCATGCGAAATAAAAATGAATGACGTTGGTATGTTGAGTATATGAATTCTTTTCTTTCTCAAAGATAAAAAAAACTAGAAAGGATTTTATCATCTATTATAACATTTATTTAAGAGTAATTTCTGCCAAATATCTAAATACAATACTATGATAAAATTGGAGCACAATTTTAGCCCACAATATTCAAATTATTATATATATTTCCAATTTAGGGCATGGTAAAACCAGCCCTTAATATAGACCTATCAAGGATAGCAAATGGTGCTGTAAAGTTTTGAATGAAGATCATTTTCATAGAAACAAGGGCACCCTTTGTGTTAATTCAAGTTTTGTAAAAAAAACTGACCATGTAGGGTGTCATAACTGGACATTTACCTTTTGCATGGGAAGCAACGGTGATTTGATTATTAGGAACATTCACAAACAGATCATACAGATCGGACCTAGGTAGAGAGAGAAAAAGAAAAGGATTATAATAATTTTGTTTGCATTATTTTTTGTTTGTCTGATGGGATGTTTCTGTTCATACACTCTATTCTATAACACCTTCACACAAAACACATAGAACAACATCATGGGGGAGGGGGGAAATATTCAAACAAACAAGTTACAAACGTAAAAAAAACTATAAACCGTAGAATGTCAACACAAAGACAATTAAATCTATATCTTTGTCCTAGAAATGAAGGAAAAAAAAGACATGATGACAAGTCAGAAGTCAGATATCAATCAGGAAAAAGTTCGAGCTACTGTATAGTGGGCTACTAGGGATGTCCTCCAACTAAAATGTACAAAATGTATAATATTCACAGTTGTGTAAATAAAAAAATTCTAATAGCCACAAGAAGGCAGTGAAGGGCATATAAATTCATAAAACAATCAAATTCAAGTACATTTTCGTGTATATGAATCTTATCACCTGTATGCCTAAGATAAATGCCCTTGTCTTTCGAGATAAGTAAATTGGAAGAATATCAAGTTCATTTGCAGGCGTAGACGGTTTCATTTGACATTACCACTCATTCTGCACTTACCTGCCTTCCACAGCAGCTTCTGTAAAACCTGCAACATAGTGAGAGTTGCTTTGAAGATTCTCAAGTTCTGCATCATTCAGCTGCACAAATGGATGTACAATGCTCCAATTTTGTCTGTGCCATGCAAAAGCAGGGATAGATCTGAAACCATATGACAACATGCTTGAGTTTTACACAGTGTGAAAAAAATTAGAAGGGTATGAAATGCCAAGTACTTTTGTAAGACATCTCATTTCCACTGCTTGTATTTTCCTCCTCAGTTTTGCTGTTCATGTCCATGTCTTGCATGCACATAAAAAGATTGACAGGACTAATGCATGCAGTCGCTTCAGTTTAGTTGACAGACTGATATTTTGTCTCTCCACATTGGTTTCAGTATTGTCTCTGCTGCTGCTATCTGTGCTGCCCTAGCTAGGACTTACTGTCTTTGAGCTCTCTTCATTGAGCATTGCTGCAAGGTACAGGGTGATAACCCCCCCCCCAAAAAAAAGGCACAATTTTTTTTTCTAAATATCTCGCACAAAATTTGTACTAGAATGTTGTAATTTGGAACATATACAATTCATTCAAAAGGAATTTTTTTGACAAAAATTCACAAAGAACAACCTTATGTTCGAAACCAGAAATGGCTTTTATAAAAACCACCGAAAATGCAAAATGCACCAATTTAATGTAATGATTGGTTTGTCTTTTCCTTTCCTTTCATTTTCTAATCTTTCCATCCCTGTAATCTTTCAACAATATTTTTTCTCCTACAGAGTAAAGCCATATTTTTAAAATTCTGGAATTCTGAGAACCAATGGTCTATATGTCCTCCTTTGGACTCGACACATTTTAACACGTCATCCGTAATGTTCAGTCGTGGCCAAACACAAGGATCCACTCAACCATGAGTACTCAAAGCTACACAAAATGTACACCTTACAGTATGGAGCTGTTGTTTCTAGAGACAAT